TAGAGACGGGTTTAATTTTTATTTTTTGCTTGTGAAATGTTACATTCTTAAAAAGTACTTTAAACTGTATAAATACAGAATTTTGCAGATCTTCGAACTCGAACCAAACTTGAAGTTCGGTTCGGAGTTCGATTCGAACATGTTCGGGTTCGGCATATTATCTGCTTCTAAGAATTTTATTTACATCATCTGAACTTTGCATAGTCTTAATCCACGCTTCAAGTTTTCAATAGATATCTCTAGCATTAGGCCGTTTTTTTGGATTAGCATCCATACATTGTTTAGCAAACTCAACATAGGAGTTGGGAGTTTGAGGTGCAAATTCAGGACGCAATCCTTTGCTGCAAATCTCTAATGCAAGTTTTACATCAAATTTACGTCCTTCAAAAGGTCTTTGACCAGTTGACATTTCTGCCATAATGACTCCGAAGCCATAAATATCGGCAGCTTTTGTAAGCTTTTAACCTAATAAAACTTCTGGTGCCACATAAGGCATAACACCATAAATATCACCTTCTGAACTGTTTTCGTTAGATTTTTAGACAATCCTAGATCTGATATGTAAGATTGCATATTTTTACTAATGACTTCATTTTGTAAAATATTACCACTGTGAAAATCTGCATGAACATATCCTGCACTATGAATAGTCCATAAATCGTAAGAAATATCTTTAAGCAGCTTTAATTTAGTTTGCCAGGTAAGAACACAAAATTTTTTTATTAAAAACTTGCTAAGACACCCATTATCAGCATATTGAAATACCATCAAGTATTCATTTTCATTTTTTTGAGTTAATCCGTATATTTTAAGTTTACTACCCATAAGCCACATGTTATATGATTTTCAAACTTTATCATTAAGTAATTAAATCAAATGAAATAAATTAGTTCATGATTTATTTAATAAATTATTGAATAAACAAATTTTAACTTCTTTTAAAGAATCAGACAAAGTCTTGAGTGCAACGATGCTAGATGCTTCACGCGATCTTTTATAGGAATAGTTGTCATCATCAATTTTCTTCAATTTTTCGCATACCATCCAGTCAGGTTGCTGAATATACAGAGCCAAATCCTCTTTTGCCAATTTCTTTAACATCAGACAATCTATCAAATGGAATCCATTCGATTACATTTTCATATTTCCAGGTTCTAAGTTGCAACTTTTTTATACAATCATCAATATCTTTATTTCTACTTGTCCACCTTGTTGTTTCTAAATCAGGGTCGTATGATAAACATCATGCTTTATACGTGTTATCTTATAATTTTTGCTTCAAAGCTAATGAAGCTAATTAGCATATATTAAGAGATGATAAGACATAACAGACGTAACATTACGTACTCAAGAGTGATACATTGCAATCGTAATGTTTGGCGAAATGCTTATTAGAATTTTTAGAATTATAAAGTTTTAGAATTTTACAAACCAATTCTTAATTTAATGGATTTTATTCAGAACTGGCACTAAGAATATACTTTTCGTCTAAAAAGCATTTGTGACACGTCTTTAATAAGTAAAAATCAATATTTTTCATGTATCTATTATTACCGTACTCAGAAACTCTTCTACGTCTTGAGAAGATCGGCGAGGCAAAAAAATAGCCCGAGTACATTACGTAGTTAGTACACACTAGATTATCGTTATCTTGAAACAAGGGTCCATCGAATTGATGAACAATGTAATAATCATGTGATTGCGTTAAGCTATGAGCTTTTATGTTTCGGAAGATCCAGTAAACCTTTGTAGATGATTTCTCTAAGAATTTCTTAATTGCTTTTATTTGATATATTATAACAAATCTAGACAAGACATTGAATACAATTCGCGTTCTAATTTGTTAATGAACGCAGGTATAAAATTTTATTTTGACCATTATATTAACCTTTTATAAGTTAAATTAATTTATTATGTTTTGCGCGACAGCAGTGGTTACATTATAAAATTATGGTTATTCTAAATTTAAAAGATCATTTTAGACGCCCGAGGTTAGCACAGCACAGAATCCTAAAGCATTATATAAATATATGTCGCGGCTGAAGCTGGAAATGGCTGAAGCTGGAAATTTTAAATATTTTAATATGAATAAAAATGTATAAGTGGATTTTGGTAGTGTTTATATTTTTAAATCGAGGTCCCTAGTTTCCAGCTTCAGCCGCGACAATATATTTTTTCAAAGAAATATTTGTAAAACGTAACGATGAAGATTTCTAAGATTATCGTACGATACGTCGTTTTCTAAAATTCAAAACGCACAGTAATGTAGCACAATTTTCATTTGGAATAACAAATACGTAGCACGAAAAAAGTACTCAATATTCCATTTCATATTTCATATGGCCCATTCAGAGAGAAGTGAAACGAAGCGGCTGATCAAGATCAAGAAAGCGCATGATACAACACGCGAGAGACGCAAGATCAAGAATGAGTACTAGAGTTTTTATAAAACGCAACCAAATCCGTAGCATAAATTACATTCTTGATATCTATATAACCCACTAACCATAACTGCGTCAAAAAGGTAACCCTAAACTTCACTCCGCTTTAGCCGACCACCTTTTATAAAGTTCACAACTACGCCAATAGGATACCTTTTAGCGTCGTACGATTTTGGAAGCAATTCACTTAACATTAAGGGCTAAAAATTAAGGGCTAATTTGTATGCACGCGCATGCATAGACCATGAATGAATGTTACCCGATTATCATCACGTGGCCACAAACTGATTAAAGTTTCATGAGAATGTTCGCTAAGATTAAAATAAAGTGTTTCGTGTAATACATACATTATTATTATTATTATTATTTTGCGTACGTATGTCCGCACGCATGTACGCACGCATGTACGTAGTCAATTCGAGCAATTTAATATTTGTATTTATTTAAAACAAATAGAAAGATCACTTTTAATAGGTTCATATAAAATTTGTACCACAAAGAAAAAAAGATTTCAAGTTTCTTTATACACGTACCGGTACGCACGTACGCATGCTAACTTTATCTTGTTCAATAAGCATATAAGGTTACACGATTTGAATTTTTTTTACGTTTTTTTTACCGGTGTTTTTAATAGTTCAGAAACCAAGTTATCATGTCGACGGACGTTTCTACTACTGGTGTAGAGGTTGGAAACCTTGAACACAAACCGATTGAACCAAAACCGGTCGAAAAAAAAGGGACCACTAGCGGTGTAAAATCGTTCTTGGCAGGAGGGTTTGGTGGAATGTCGGCTGTGCTTGTCGGTATATATCAAATTATCAAAATATCGGTTTGCAGATGCAAAATGCACCACAGGAATGCTAATTATTTATTGTTTTTTCAAATAAGGTCATCCATTTGATTTGGTCAAAGTTTGTATCTTACTACAGAGTTATTTCATAGACTTTAATTAGAAAATTTATATAAAAAAGGTATATTGAAATTAGGTACGACTACAAACCGCTCCTGAAGGAACGTACAATGGTATGATTGATGTTGTAAAAAAAACAATCGCGAAAGATGGAATAACTGGGTAAGTTACATCGTCAATCAATTTCTATTAAAAATCTCTCATCATTGATATATTTTTTGTCTGATCCAGTTTATATCGTGGTATGGGTCCTCCATTAGCTGGTATAACCCCGATTTTCGCGATAAGCTTTTGGGTGGGTTTACATAACAGTAGCAGATAATTAATAATGATAATCGTAATAATCGGGATTTTTCTTTATAATATATATTTTTACCGATTATTTTAATACTTCATAATAGTCTTATAACCTTGGTAAAAATCTCGTATACGCTTCTACTCCAAATCGCAAATCGCGAGAGCTCAGTTCATTGGAATATACAATTGCTGGTGGTATATCTGCTGGTCCAACCACATTAGTAATGGCTCCAGTTGAAAGGATTAAAGTTTTATTACAAATTCAAGGTCAGGGTGGTGATGTTAAATACAAGGGTCCGCTCGACGTAATACGTCATCTTTATAAGGAAGGTGGTTTAGGTAGTATTTTTCGTGGAACTGGTGCTACGTTGCTCCGTGATGTTCCAGGATCTGCTGCCTATTTTGGTGCTTATGAATTTACAAAAAAACTTTTAACTTCTGATTCTACTTTGAATCCTGCGGCTGTCTTATTTGCTGGTGGTAAGTTTAATTAAAATAATTAAATAATTAAAATATATCATTATATTTCTGATTTCTCTAATTATTAATTACTAATATTATTCAGGTATGGCTGGTGTCGCTATGTGGACTATTTGTATTCCACCTGATGTTATTAAGTCACGCCTTCAATCGGCTCCTTCTGGTCAATATAAGGGTTTTATGGATGTGTTACGTCACTTACTTAAAACGGATGGTCCATCTGCTTTGTTTAAGGGTATCGGTCCTGCGTTATTAAGAGCTTTTCCTGCAAATGCTGCGGCTTTCATGGGATACGAAGCTAGTTTAAAAATAATGGATAAGTTTTGGTAGTGATACATAGTACATAGAATACGTAAAATAAATGAATATTCCTTTAATTCTATTTATGTTTAAAAAGGTTATGAAAATACAATTACAAAATTATTTTAATTTTTGTGTTAAAGTTACATAGCATATTGTATCTACGTACGCACGTACGTACGTACGTATTTGATACGTACGCATTATTTATTGCGACTTAGTTCTGTAGTTAACAATCTGACTCTTAGTTAACAATTATGTTCGGTTTTGTTCTACCGGATTAAACGAACGGAGAATGCCGAACTATGTCACGTGATAACCGTCAAAGGAAATTTCATTTGCTTTAAGAACATTTTAACATGATTCCACCAGAACTTTCTTTTTTAAAAAACTACGGAAAATCTTATTGTGTCCCGATTATTTCATTCACACATAACCTTTTAGGCTATATTCGCAAATATTCGCATGCAACTCCGTAGTAACCACAACAATTGGTTAAATTCCTTGACTAAATTTTTTTGATTTTGTAAAATGCACATTTGGAAACGCCATCGCCTCATGGCGAATAGTCGGTTTCACAATTGTTTCACAAGTATTGGCATACGGTATATCTTGGTGATGGTTCTGTTCTTTGTTTCACTACCTAGTCTTTTCAAGCCATACTTGAAAGCAAAGCGAAGCATCTGTTCTATCCGTCGAAGTTCTTAAACCTGCCTTCCGTCCTAGCCCTTTAGTGGACCTATTGCCTACAGTCCGTCTAGTCCTAACAGGCATCTATATTAGATTTTAGAGTTTCTCCTTCACCAGTGTCCAGCTTGTTGGAGGTGTGAAGTGACCATTTTTCTTTAACGACCTAAACGAACTTTACAACAATCACATCTGACCCCCAACCTTATCATAAATAGTTTTATTTGTTTTAAAGTCCTCCAAAACTATTACGGTCGTGCTAAAAGAATTTTATCTATACGTACTTGTTATAAATTTTTCTTATATATATATATCATTTATAAATAATGGCCGACGATTCTGTCACCCGCGATGACTCTGTGGCTGTGACTGCCTCTGAAACTGTTGAAAATAACTCGGAAGAGGCTATCACTCCCAAAGAGGAAAAAGCTCAAGAAGAGCCTGGTTTTAAAGTTTTTGTTGGAAATTTGGCTTTCCAAACCACTGAAGATCAGTTAGCCGACTTTTTTAATAAGACCGGTAAAGTGTAAGTTGAAATTCTTATAGCATATATATTATGTTTTATTATCTGAGTTTCTAATTGATATCTGTCGTTTAAAAAAAAATTTTTTTTTTTTTTTTTTTTTTATATATTTATTTTAATTCTTAATTATTTATCTATTAAATTAATTTAGTGTTAAGGCTAATATTATTACTCGCGGAACGCGTTCCCTTGGTTATGGTTTCGTTGCTCTTGAAACTGAGGAGGATGCGAATAAAGTCGTTGAAGAACTTAATAAAAAAGAATTGGATGGCCGTCAAATCAATGTAGAAGTTGCCAAGCCTAAGGAAAATACCACTGCTCCTACTTCTAATCCTGGTCATTCCTACCATGGTCCTGGTTCGCGTCGTGGACGTGGAAGATTTCGTGGTAGGGGTAGAGGACGTGGTAGGGGTCGTGGACGGGGCAGAGGTCGCGGTAGCTGGGTAAATATATTTATTAATTTGTTATTTTTAATTCAATTATTAATATTATTAATAATTATTATTAATCTTAATATAAATATAATATTCTATTATATTAGCAAGGTCGTCGTCGATTCAACCGTGGTGGTGATGACGGCAATATTGACAATGATTCTACTGCCATTGTACCCTCTGATGCCCCAACTGCAAATGGTACTGATCAACATAAAGGTCGTGGTAGATTCCATCGTCGCGGTCGTGGTCGCGGACGTGGTCGTGGTGGTCGTATGATACGTCGCCGTTCTGCTAATATTAATTCAAATCAAACAGCTGGCGCTGCTAAAACTGGTGAACCATCTAAAACGATTGTATTCGTTGCCAATCTACCCTTCTCCATTAATGATGATGGCCTGAAAGAAATTTTTAAAGATTATAACGTTGCTAATGCACACGTTGTTCGTCGTCGTGGTGGGCGTTCAAAGGGTTTTGGTTTCGTCACTTTTACTGACGAAGAAGAACAAAAGAAAGCCTTAGAAGGGTTAAAAACCGCCACGTCTGAAGGTAGAGAGTTGGTTATTAAAGTTGCATTAAGTGACCAACATATTCAACCTGGTGATGATGTTGAAAAGACGGAAGCGCCTGCTGCTTCCTCTGATGAGAAGAAAGAAACTGCCGCTTAATTATATCTATTAACAAAAAAAAAAAAGAAAAAAAAAAGTGTTAATTATTTGACATCACAGGAGGCATCTAAAATAGTTTCTGTGTAATTAAATATTTCTTTGTAGTAGTAGTACTTTAGTTTCTTGTATGCAACATTTATATATGGTATGTTTTACGAATATCATTTTTTTATTTCTGACATGTTCTTATCATTAATATTATATGCTTCCATGTCCCATGCCCTTTGTTTTTTTTTATACTAAATCTATTATTTTATTCCCTTTTTTCTTCTCTTCGACCTTCCTATATTTCAATTCTTGTCATTAGTTTAAAAACCCCTTCCCCTTATTATATATTATCATCACTCATGTTCGTTTTCTGGGCGACAGGAGCAGTAAATCTTTTTTTCTAACCCTTTGATATATTGACTTTATTCTTCTGGTTCTGACTTAAAAGCATTGGAAGAACAAATGTTTCGTTTGTATCATTGGTACTTTTTTATTTTCATTAATAAATTGATGCCAATTTTGATTAAACGTTAATGAAAAAATAAAAATTACAAATTATCAAAAAAAAAAAAAAAAAAAAGATAAAAGTTTCTTATTATCTTATAACTTATTTCTATTAAATAATCATGCTATATAATACGATCAAAAAAACTAGTGTCTTTTCTCTTCTCACAACCATTTAGGCCTGTTCACAGGAACTCTGACTAAATCAGTGTCAAATAACTCAATAAATTGTTCATTTAAAACTCTAACTTTTGGTCCCGCATATCGTCGATATTCTTCAAAGATTGATGTTAAATTCCACTTTTGAAGTTTACGCAAACATCCTACAATTGTACCTTTTTTCGTGAAATTATTTTATTAATCAAAAAATAAAAAACGCATGTTGGTAGTGATAACATATAAAGTACCTGTCCTATGCCTTCCTAAATTGCACATAACGATCATTGGATAATTATGTGGATTTAGAATATGTCCTAATGCTTCCACAACAACCTCTTCAGTAATAGGATCCCAAGCGCTTACTGAAGACATTACGCCAACAATGCCAAGATTGTGAAACTTAATTTCTTGATCATCGATAAAATCTAAACTATAAATTTTATCAACTTTATTACTCATCGCTAAAAACGATAAAAGTTTATAATTCTAAAGTTAGAAACGCTTACAATCTTTGATTTGGTTCTTCAGAAGCAAGCCATACCACTGTCTTTAGTCCAAGTTTCTCTAAAAATGGAAAATTTAATTCGTTCGGTTGACCTGATCTATACAAGTCTTCTTCTATCATGCCATAATTCTGTGAATTCAACAAAGTGAATGTACAAAGAATTATTTATTTAACAACTTGTCTTTTTTTGCACAATATACGTTTGATTCCAAAAACTTTACCAATGGAGGAATAAAATGTTGTGAACTCATTTGTTAAAAACAAAAGAGCAATTGTTTAATTCTTTAATTTGTATATCGGTACCAGATATTCAATAAAACGTAAACCCTATATATATATATACATTATATCGAACAGATAGTTTTTGTATAATATGATAAAATTTTTAAAGAATTACAAAATCTTTATAATAGTTTGCTCAGTTTAACATTGCATTAGCATAAACTTGACAGAAATTACTAGCTAGTAACTAATATTCAATTTCGAACAATTTCGCACGTATTACAAAGGAAAAAATATCGAGTTGCGAAATCATTTATATATCAAAAACGAAAAGGATATTATCCTTTCGATGCTTTATTAAATGAAGTTTAAAGAAAGTAAAGAAAAATTACTCAAATACAGCCGAAATAAATGCGAGATCGATGAAGAAAATTATTATCTATCAAAAAAAAATGGATATTCATTCTCAAATAATAGCAACGCTTACATATGCGCTTTATGGCTTATCAACCTTTAGATTGTGTGAAGGTAGTTATTTTTAAGTGAAAAGAATGTTCAAATATCAACCTACCTTAAATACGATTTGAATATTTGATGCGTTGAAGTGTACCGTTTGGTGATAACGATTGAAAAGCCTAAAGTTAGATATCTTCTAAAAAAACCTAAATTTTATTAACTAAGCTTTGCTCTATCAATTTAAACATTACGTTATTTTATCAAACACTTTTGTGCTAAATGGTGTGTATCATTTCATTAACAATAGTTCGTTGGACAGGAAGCATTATTAGTATCGCAACAAAACAATGTAAAAATAAGACGTCATTGCGTCTTGTCAAAATAAATAAACAAATTCCGTTTATGTTTTTTAAACGGATTACCTTGCAGTTCTACTTCTTATTTCTAGCCCTTCTAGTCAAGTGTTTTTCTAAAACTCTCTTTCCCTCACAATTAGGGAAATTTCGAAGATCATAATAAACTGGTGCAATATCCAGAAGCCTATAATAAAGATATAAATTAATGTCTGCAATTTAATAAGGTTCATATTATTGCTGATACCAATACTTACCAATCAGCTTTTACTTCGGTCACTGTGCGGATATAATTCTTGGTCGTAAGAACAAATTCATTATACAAGACCCATTCAGGTTGATGCCCAAGGGACGAAGATGGGTGAAGTTGAACAATCTGATACAATATTATAATAGTTAGAATTACTAAATTATTGACAAATTAGATTTACATTGATTAAAATTTACCTGATTATCTTTACATGTCAAATAATGGCCTGATTTTTCCAAATGTGCAACTTGCATAAAGAATCCCGCCGTCAAAGCTTGCCTAATGTTTGTATAATAACTTCTATCCTCAAATGGTGTGCTAACCAAATCTTGGTCACAACGCTCCATAATGCGCTTGAGTTGCTGACGGACATTGTCAGCCGATTTCAAAGATCGAGCACTGAGATAATTGTTATAACACCATTCTGGATCATTTATATCTATAAAGAAAAAAGAGATTATTATGCCTCAATAAATTAAATTGAATTCGTAGTTTCATCTTTTATATGACTTACTAGTTTTATAAGCATGATAAACATTCAATAAAGTTAAATGATCTCCATCAGTGTGTGCAAATTTTCCTTTAGCATCCTCAGCTTGCTTTTTCGATTCATTAGGTCGGACGAAAATATTTGGCACTTTAATGTTTTTTTTACACGTTAATATATTAAGGTATAAATCTTCAAAATAAAAAGATTCCATATGATCCGATAACATTAATAAATACCTGATAATAATGCAGCGATTGAAAGGATTTCATTAGAGCATCTATACTTGGGACTTTCTATCAACATTTTTGCCAGTTGAGGATCAAGTGGGAACTCGGCCATTAAAATTCCATCGCCAGTGAGATTACCATCGTCATCAAGAGCTCCAAGATAATTTAGAAGCTCAAGAGCACGCATCAATGTTTCTGGAGCTAAATTATATTTCGAAAGAGAAATCAAAATATGGTCAAGAATTCGTTTTAATAAGACAAAATACTATGGTAATATACTAATGTCAATTATTTATTTACCTGGAGGATCCATAAAATCAAAATGTACAAGATCGTCTATTCCCAACTTTTTTAATTGAAGGACTACACTGCCCAGATTGCTCCTTAAAATTTCAGGATATGTCTGTTCTTGTAATTCTTTAAGAAATGCTTTCTCAGTGTAAAGGCGGAAACATTTTCCTGCACGCGTACGACCAGCACGACCAGCCCTTTGTTGAGCAGAAGCTTTACTAATAGGGCTTACAAGCAGCGATTCGACGCGGATACGAGGATTATAAACTTTTTGTTTGCTAAAGCCAGGATCAACAACATAGACAATACCATCAATAGTTAAAGATGTTTCTGCAATATTTGTTGATACAATAACTTTGCGACCAGGTTTTCCGTCCTTAGTGCGGGGTGGTGGTGCGTCTTCGAAAATTCTTTGTTGTTGTTGAGGTGGTAACGAGGAATATAATGGGAGGACTTTTAATGTTCCTAGATCGGATCTTTTCATCAACTCTTCATTCTCTGTGCGAATCTTTAAACAAGCATTTTCAATTTCTTCTTCACCAGTTAAAAATAATAAAATGTCACCAGGTGGTTCATATTCATGAATTTGCATAACCGTACGAATAGCAGCCTCAAGATAATCTCGTTCAGCTTCAGGTGTATAATAAATCTCCACCGGAAAGGTCCTACCTGGAACGGTCTATTTAGAACAAAAAATTTAATTACATCTATTTAGTTTATCATTCTGAAGAAGCACAGGAATACGAAAATTTACATTAAATGAATGAAACATACAAGGACTGGTGCTTCATTGAAATATCTTTGGAATTTTTCAGCGTCGAGAGTAGCGCTCATTACAATGACCTTTAGATCTTTACGTACTTTAGCAATCTAAGAATAAAATCAAATTGTTTAATATTAAATTATTGATCATTTACGATAATCTTCATTTTGATATGTTACCTGCTTCATTAAACCCATAAGAATATCAGTTGCTAGGGTACGCTCATGTGCCTCATCGAGAATAATAGCAGAATATTTTTCTAAATTTGGATCATTCATAGCTTCACGCAAAAGCATACCATCTGTTAAATACTTTAACATAGTTTTGGGCCCCGAACAATCTTCAAAACGGATGTTGTATCCGACCTCTTCACCAAGCTTCACGTCCATTTCATCAGCTACACGTTGAGCTACAGACATAGCAGCAACTCGGCGAGGCTGTGTACACGCAATTTGCTTTTTCTTTAAATGTGGAAGTATATCATAGCATAAAAATTGCGGAATTCTAACAATAACGAATTAACAAATTAGTATCAATAGACATTTATTGTAATCTAGTATAAAACAGATATTACTAACTGAGTCGTTTTCCCGGAACCAGTTTCACCAACAAATACGACAAATTGGTTTTCATGAACCAGATCAAGAAATTCCTTTCTTTGTGCGTGTACTGGTAAGGTTCGCCGAGCTTTTAAAAGTTCACGATATCGCTTACTGAAAGGTTTATTTGTGAAAGGATTTATTTCACCATCTTCAGCTATTCGGGCTTGTTCAGCAGTAGTTCTTCCTGGAAACCAGCCATCAAGTGGACTTTTGTTAAGTTGACGGTGCGCTAAATAAGGATTATCAGTTACTTCAACTCTTTGGCGCTTGCTCGAGTGTTCTTGGTTACTTTTCAGTAACCCAGACTCATTTGACCGCTTATCAGTGGAATCCTCATAATTTTCAGCATTCCTTTTTTTGTTCTTATCTACGACTTCCATTTGTCACGATCAACGACAGAGTAGCAATCTCTTTTTTTTTTCCTCCTACCAAATGGGACGGACTATAATTATATACAATTGGAGCCTCGTCATGTGATATAACTAATCTGATTCGAAAATTGATTTTGCTACGCACGGGTCAGAGTTGAGCCGACGTTAAGCAAGATGAATAACATCTATTTGGCATTTATTTGCACGGAAGCTTATCAATTCATCAAATTTGTAAAATTTTGACCTTTATTTAGATATTTTATTTATCAACAAGATCGAATACTTATAATACAATTTTAATTGATTTTTTATACACTACATTTTTTTATTAAATGAAAATAACTATTTTTATTAAAAAATCTATCTATCTATATTAACAAAAAAAAAACAACTTTTTAAAAAAATAATAATGCTTCAAAGACTTTCGACACTAATTAATAATAAAAAAAATTGTTAATAATAATTATTAAATAAATATTTTTAATTTTCAGTATACGAAGTTTCCTTTATGAAATAAGAAAACGTAACTATCTCTCTTTTTTGCAGAAATAGTAGACCTTATTTCAGAAACACATCAAACTACTTTGCCGATTATGGGTTAGGACCAACCTTCTTGATAACCACTTCCTCCGGAGTCCTACCTGGTGGCCCCCAAAACCTCGACTAAGTGTAAAATTACCCCTAGCCACCCCTTCGCTTAGAAACATTTTCAGAAATAACACTACCTTGACGGTCGTGGTTTCTTATGAAAATGTTCACATCCACACAGGTAGGATTGTTCCGTCCATGTTATCCGTCCAGTTGGTTTCTAACGATAAAAGGTGCCTGATGGATTTACAACTTCGAAATAAAAATACTTACTTTATTTCTAAAGCACCAAAAACGATGAAGCCTGGAATCTACGTTGTATATATTGAGCGATCTAATATAGTGTTTTTCAAAAAATAAAAACTATCTAAAAAAAATATGTTGTATATATATATATAATAAAGAAAAGAATAAAGAATGAATAGTAAAAATATAAAAAAAAAATAACGAAATATCGTGTTTTTGTGTTTATTTCAAACAAAAAAAAAGACAATTTATAATTGTTATATCTACCCGTGATTTCTCGTGATAATTAACCAATCAAATTGTCAATCAAATAACGATAATACAAACTAGGTTAATAGCATTGTGTGTCCGAAGCACATGATAATACAAACGCGTGATATGAATGCTTTTGTTACACTAAAGTACAAATATAGACACGCTCAAAATTACATTTTTGATGCATCAACTAGCTAGTGTTTTTTTTCTAGTACCCACAGGAACTGAAGTTATTTATTGATTTGTAGAAGTAACGTGCTGTAACGATTGAAAAAAAATAGATCTAGTGGAAAATCCTCCGAATTGTCCGAATTGTGTACGTATATTTTTGCATTCTCGGCCAATCAGAATCAATCCTGAGTCAACCATTAGCGTAAACTGATATTTTAAACCCAGGTGAGCTTTTAATAAAGGTTATATATATATATATAAAATTAACTACGTAAAAAAAAAAGCCGGTCGGTTAAAAGTCTTATGAAAACCAAGAAATTAAATTTGTATGGCCTAATTTGCGATTTTATTATATATCGACCTCCTCGTCGCAGATGCACCAATCCACCTTATTGCGCACTAACAAAAAAATTTTCCGTATAATTTTAGTACGTATAAGCCATAATCTCAATCACAACTCCAACCTTAACGTTACTTTAAAAATTTTAAAAATTCGATTGTTTAATTAGTGCCCAGAAAAATGGTAGCCGGCTTATTTTTCTGGCTTACATGTGATTTCAGATACTGATTGCAAGATAAATTATGAATTTTTTTATTCAATAAAAATAACTTAAATATTTTTTTTTTAGTTATAGCGAATAAATAAATAAAATAATAATTAAAACAAGGCGATTTAAACAGTTTATCTTAAATTCATAGAATCTTTACGCACATAAAGTAGCCTACTTTTGATTCACCAATTACAAGTTGAATTAACATATATAGATAACAAATATCTATGAATTCACGAATTTTAATGCATTGGTTAAAAGACCTTTATACATAATTAAGTTATGCGAATTAAAAAAGATGAATAGTATTATGTAACTATAATTTATTTTAAATACTAAAGTTTGTATTTACTCGTTAAATTAGTAAGAATAAATAAAAAGCAGAATCGCGAACTTAAAAAGTTTATTTAAGTGATCGATCAAGATCTTTATACTCAAATGAATTAATGCTAATAAAACAAAATCATGTACGTATATTGTCCAGAATCAATTCTGAGAACTGACAATATTTAGCTTAAATATATTATCCAGTTCTGAATTTCTGAATATTTATTTCACTAATTCCCGACCAAAATGCTCGTGTTTTTAAGTTCGTTGATAATAATTTTTCGACATTGTACAAACGCCTTAGTCTTAATCTTTCTACTTAACAACAGGAACTAAACAAAATGGTCATGAAAAGTGTATTCGGAAAAACTCAATTAGCTAGATTACAAATCAAATAAGTAATGCTCATAAACTTGAATCATTTATTTTAATTAATTAAAAAGTTCTTTTACACTCACCATTCAAATTAACACGAATAATAAGAGGCACTGAATAACTATATACAATTTTAGCGATGTACTAATTATCATGTTTGGTTCGAGTTATTATATTTTATTGTTTAAACGAGTTGTTTTGCTAAAATATGTCACTTTATTTTGTGAATTCAATACAGTAAATATTCTCGAAATCAAAGCGAAAGTAAAACGAAAGTCAAAGTGAAGTCAAAATGAAAGTCATAACGAAAGTCAAAACGGAAAGTTAAAACGAAAGACAAAGTGAAAGTCAAAGTCAAAATGAAAGTCAAAGTGAAAGTCAAAATGAAAGTCAAAGTCAAGACGAAAGTCAAAGCGAAAATCAAAACGAATATTATTTTTAAGCATGATAAACACAACTTTACTGGCAACCAGTTTTCAAAATCGATGCAAGCCAACAAAAAATCCGACTACCATGTTTTTGGAGCGATGCTATGTAAGCTCTTGACAACCACCTATCTAAAATTGATAAAAATTTTTTATTTGATTCTATATGAACAAATAATTAAATTAAAAAATTTCATCGATTTTAGATAGGTAGTTGTCGAGATATCTTCGCTCAAAGATTAGGATAACTATCAAAAGCTGCGGCAAAGTTTTATTCAAAGATATCTTGACAATTACTCATCTAAAATCAATGAATTTTTTTTTATTCCAATTCTGCCAGTATAATTAAAATAAAAAAATTTTCATCGATCTTAGATAGGTGATTGTCGAGGAAAAAACTTGAATAACTGTCAAAACAAGTGGCAAAATTTTTTCCGAACTTTGAGCGAAGATATCTCAATAACCATCTATCTAAAATTGTATATTGATGGAATTTTTTTTTATTCTCATTCTATATCCCTGTATAATTAAAATAAAAAAAAATAATTATAATTGAATAATTTCATCCAATCAGATGCGACTATTCAAGTATTTTATATGATTACGTATAAGGAATACATTTTAAAAATTATATGATCATTCTGATATAGCTTAACGGTTAGAACGCGGGTCCGTACATTGCACTAGGTACAGGTTCGAATCCGGCTGGTGCCAGGCTCTCCATACTTAGTGAAGATTGCCAAGTTTGCAAATATCAGGTGATCATTGGCCGATTAATTTAGTTTTTTTGCCCCAAATTGTGATGATTACGAATTTGTCCGGTTTTATCACAAAATTACCGAATCTGTTAAATAAAGCAGGTTTTGGTGTGCAGATATAAATATACTTCGAGTAAATGGTTTTTTTGATATACATATTCTTAAAATGGTTTTTTGACATGTTTTTTTCTCATGATAAATAATCTGAGTAATTAAAGCACGCTTTCTGACAAAAAAAATTGTGAAATATTCCCAACGAAAAGGAGTGATGACAGTTCGGAATAAAAATGAGGAAAACGAAAAATTTTATTTTCCAAGTTTTAAGAAATCTTTTAAAAAGCATATTAAAATGAATTCTCCTAATTCTTCTGAACTAGTTGCGGTTGAAGTTCAGATTGTCATATGGGCGAAAATCTCCAGTTGAAACACAGTGATTATTAAAAATTAGGTGATATTATAATCATGTACGTACAATTTATAAGTAATTAGGTTACAATCAGGTAAATACGTACAAAAAATTTATAAGTAATCAGGTTACAATCAGG